CCCCAAAACCCCAAAACCCCAAAACCCCAAAACCCCAATTTAGTTGTAACCGATTGGATATATAACACCAGGTTTGGACTATAATTAATAATTGCAAAACAACAATGAACGATTTAGAACCCGTGAATTCCCGCTCATTCTACGCCCAGAGCCAAAAGGTCGTCCCAAAGGTGCTCGATATGGCAGATGATGAGTTTTATGGCCACAAGAAAACCAATTCTCAGACAATGACTCACGGCATGAGGCCCAGAGTGAAATGGTCGCCTGAATTAGAAAAAGTTAAAGTCTTTCGAAAAGTTCCTACAGAACGAAGGGTCCAATTGCTTCAGATTAAAGCAATTAGAACGAATCGAGTCCCAGGAAAGAGTATCTTGAAAACACACACTATGAGTATTTCTCAATCTGAAGAGTTCGATATGTCAAGTTCCACAAGCATCTCAGACGATGGAAGTCCTGCAAGGGAGGTGAGAATCCCACCACCCAGAAGAAGGCTTCACTTCGGAGTATCTCCTGCAAAGAAGGCTATTGCTACCAGTTCTGGGTCGATTAGTGCTCCGAAGCCTCGAAAGAAATCCTTTCGCAGGGGTTCGACAGAAAAGTTGAAGAAAATATACAACGTAGATGATGAACCAACCAAGCCGAGGGTGTATAGGAGCCCCACTCGGTTCTCTAAATAGTGCTATGGCAAGCAGAACCGATCATAATATTTTCTTGTAATATAAAATTTCTGATAAAATGTACTGTTTAGGATAAAATTATTTGAATTTTTCATAATCTCCCTAATAGTACTTTAATTAGACCAGTTATTAACAAGTAATTCGAGCATTTTTACGTAATTTTGGATCTTTCAGACTAGCCAGCAACCATCTGGGAGTACGAGGGTAGAATCGCTACTGCTGACAATAGAAATACACCAAGAGAGGGAACTAGCACAGTAATTATGTATTCCCTGCGCCAATCAGAAGGTTGGTGAAGACGCCCAGTGATCCTCGGATATATTTCAACAACAAAGTATCGAAATGGGGTTTTGGGGTTTTGGGGTTTTGGGGTTTTGGGGTTTTGGGG